TTTTCATCTTGACCTGAAAAGCATTTCAATGAAAGAGGCAGATTTTCTGAAAAACGCTTTGCCCAGCTTTGTGGAGTGGTATTATTTGCATGTTAACATTAAGATGTAATCAGTCTTGAGTTTCTAGGTCTTTACAGCTGTGATTTCTTTTAAAGACCTTTGAACCTTTCCGTTCAAAATGTTGCCAAAAGCAAAGATTTAACCAGCATGAAAAATACTCCCACAAAATCTCCTTATTTTACTTCCTGGAATCCTTGGGAAAAAGAGCAAATTCAGTAGGGTGTGGTGACGTTTTCTGGCGTCTAAGACTTTGTGGAACTGCAATGTTTAGAGTGTTTTATTCTTCGTATTTAAGAGCTCAGTTCGTTTTCAGCATGTTGCTGTCCTGGTGGCATTGCCCGTGCTGTGCACATGACTGGAGCTTAAATATATTTGCAGGACAGGACTCTACATGCCCTTCGAAATACATTCATGTGCCCCAGTGCTACAAAACCATTAAGTACGAGCTAAAAATCCCACTGGCATCTCTGGAAGAAAAATGAAGCAGGTGCTTTGTGTTCTACCAAATACAGAAGACCAAATATCTGATTATCCTTGGAGAAATGCTGCCAGGCTGGCTCAAACCAGGAGGGCTGGGTCACTCAAACAGAATTTCCCATTGCAGTGTGAAATTCCCGGTTGGTACAGGTCGGCTTGCTTCTCGTTGGAAACTCTTGGGCTGAATCTGCCTGGGATGTCGCCTGAAATGCATGAACATCTATTGCCTTGATTATTTGCATAAAATTCAAAGCCCAGGTGCTATGGGAAAATGAGATTGTCTTCATGCTTTCTTGACCCCGGTAAAGGCAGATTGTCCTGAAGCTGACAAACGGGTTCGGATCAGATATTAGAGCTGAATGAATATAATGGGATTAAAGGTGGGGCTGTGAACAAGAAAGAGGGAATTGTCATTTTAGGCTCCCACACTCTTCTTCCTTCAGCCCGCTGTCCACAAGGTATGCGAGCGATGCAAAAGCTGGGTGAAAAATGCACCGTTTCTTTATGGTTTAATGGGCTATGTATAGGGCTGGTTCGTTGTGTGGAGGAGTGGGGTTTGTGGGCTCCATGCCCAGAGGCAGATGTGGCTTTTTGCATCTGTCAGTTTGGATCAACTCTACTAGACTCTGTTGATCTACAAAGGGGCATGTCTGGAGTGACACTGAGCAGGATTTGGCCCCCAACCGCCCCAGAAAACTTGCTCCTGGCCTTTTTTCTCCAAAGTGGCCTGACCCACATGGACATTTTCAAGTAGGCAGCAGAAAACATGGCTTTTGCAATACTCGGGGATTGAGAAGGGCAGGGATGATTAAAGGTATTCTCCCAGAAATGCAAGAGCTGCTGGGCTGCTTTGGCACCCTGGGGAGCCGGCTGGTTATTGGTGTGCAGGCATTGCCTTGCAGGGAGGAGATCACCATAAATTATGAGCTGTTGGGGCAATGGGAGCTTCTTGTTTGGGTGTTTCTGCTTGTTATTTACCTACAAATGAGATGAAGTCCGAGTCGTATGCATTGAGATAGAAAAGATGAAGATAACCTTTCGAAAAACATCCTCTTTTAGGTGGGTGGGTTTTGCCTTCTCAGCAAGGACTGATCCGTTTGGATTTCACCACCCCCCAGCCCAGACAGCGTTGCTAAGGCATGTCATTTATTAAAAAATAGTTAGTAATCTGCTACCTGCTGATCACATCCAATAAATCATCTCGCTTTCCATCAGTAAAGCACTGCAGACTGAATCCGCCACGCTCGGCACAGCCTCTGCGCTGGGAGAGAAGCAGAGGCAGATGCTCAACCGGTGGGAACCAGTGGTGGGTTCATCACCATCACGCCGGCATGGACAGACCGAGCCTGGCAGGATGGTTGAACTCTTCCTCCAGCCACGGAGAGGTCGGGGCAGACAAGCCGTGAGTCAGCAGCGAAGTCTAGGAAGCGGAGTGGGACGTCAGGGAATAAATTACAACACCCGGTCCTCGGTGCACCTTTCATGGGGCCAATTAACCTGCCCACACCCTCTGCTGCTTCCAGACTGGGTGAGGAGAGACAGCTTTCTCCAAAGGGCAATTCAGAGCAAAGTTGTCTCGGGGGCTTTCGGCTGTGCCCAGGCGAGCCGTGGGAGGGAAGAAGCCGGCAGGGCTGGCTGGTTTTCCCGGCATCCAGCTGCGCATCCAGCTGTGATGAGTGCCACCATGGCAAGCCCTTCCCAGCCATGTTATAGAGACCTGTCAGTGGGTCACCATCCCATGGAAACGGGGGACCCTCGCAGAGAAAAGGGAGGGGGCAACCTCATCTCACCTAAATCCCAGGCTTCTAAAATGATGGGAGAGGGTTTTCCCCTCCCTGCACGGGATGTTGGAGGGGGACGTCCAGGCACAGCCCACAGACTCCACTCTTCATGTAAGTTAGAATCACAGAATCACAGAACCATTAAGGTTGGAAAAGACCTCTAAGATCATCAAGTCCAACCATCAACCCAACACTACCATACCCACTAAACCATGTCCCTAAGCGCCTCATCTACACGTCTTTTAAATACTTCCAGGGATGGTGACTCCACCACTTCCCTGGGCAGCCTGTTCCAAGGCCTGACCACTCTTTCAGTGAAAAAGTTTTTCCTTATGTCCAGTCTAAACCTCCCCTGGCGCAACTTGAGGCCATTTCCTCTCATCCTATGGCTCGTTACTTGGGAGAAGAGAACGAACCCCACCCGGCTACAACCTCCTTTCAGGCAGTGGTAGAGCGCGATGAGGTCTCCCCTCAGCCTCCTCTTCTCAAGTTCACGTGTTTTAAGGAAGGGGGGGTGTTTGGGGAAGAAAGGCCCCGATGCCGCGTTTTGGGAAGGTTCGCCTTTCTCTTGCTTTCTTTTAAAACTAGCCTGCTCTTGCGAGAGGGTTGCTTGGGTGGGGTGTGGGATTGTTTTCTTTTTGTTACTACCTGAGCTGGTTCTCACTGATTTCTTTAAACACGGGCCTGGCTGCTTTTTTGTTCTGCCTCCAGAGATCCCAGACTGTGAGAGATCCCAAGTGAGCTGCACATCCCACGAGCGGTTTTCGCTGCATTTCCAGACTTCCTTGTGGCCACACTAATCTCTGGATGGAATAAAGGTATGCAAAAGTGCATCAGGAAGGAGAGCAGACAAAGTCTCAAACTTTGTTAAAACTCCACTTCTTGCAAGCTACCAACCCCACCCATTTGGAGGTTCATGTTTGAGAAAATACCTTTTGTATTATTTGAGAAAATGCTTTTATAATATCAGGGAGGGAAATAAAACCCGTGAAGCAAAGCATGAATTATGCATGTAGTTTATTGAAGGTACAGCTGAAAGTTTGGAGTAAGCGAAGGATAATCAACTCTGTTCACTTACACATTAAAAGCATTAAATCCATCTATCTAGTACACACACAGGAAAAACAACGCATGCATTTAACTACAGAAATATAAGGTGCTCGTCGGTGTGTAATTAAAATCTGCTCTACCAAACCTGGTGTAGCAACTTGGACCAATTTACATAAGCATTACCAACCCTCTCGTAAACAGGAAAAATTGGATTTTCTGGTGTCATTAAAGAAGTTAAATAATGGCTGCAGCTCCATCTCGGACAATTAAAATGTGGCTTCTCTTTCTGAAGTTAGGATGACCAAATTTTTCATCCTTTTGTTTTAAGAAAATCCCTGCTGAAAAGGGGTCAAGCAGAGAAGGCTGATTTAAGAGCCGAGATGATGTGTGAAGACAGGTATGGACTCTGAAATGAAAATCTCTCCCGGCTGAGACCGTGGGGGTAAGTCTCCCCCAAGAAGGACATGCAAGAGAAGGTGGGTTTTGATCATGCAAAGGGTTTTCGGCAGAGCGACTAGCCTAATTGTGTGGGCGTGGGCAGCGCATGGTTGTGTGATCCCTATAGCTGTCAGAAGGAAGGGGAATACTGTTTTATTGCAGAAATGCTGATTATTTTAAAATACGACGTGTGGTTGCCCTGCGGTCTCTACCGGGTTGTTCTGACCACGCGCACAGCTGTGCTGTACCTGCTCCCGGTGCTGCAGACCCCTGCCCCGGGAATGATGACGGCTCCCGGGCTGCACTGCTCCATGCCAGCACACACGACGTTCCCCAGGTTGCCCACGCCGGTGGTGCACTGCACCCCCTCCGCACCGGAGATGACTTCTCGCCCCACGCAGCTGACCGCGCTCCTTGCCCCAAATCCACCCCCCACCCTGGGGAGGCAATCTACGCTCCGGGTGCTAAAGCCGGCACTGCTGACGCCGAAGGAGGAGACCACCCCTAACCCCGGGCCGGCCGGTCCTGTCTTGACAGTGCATTTGCCTCCGATTCCAGATAGGGATCGGCACTCCCCGACGGTGCCACCGCCGCTGACCACAGCTGTGGGAGAAAAACAGGCTCAGTCACTCCTGGAGCAGCTAAACCCAGCTTATAAGGAAACTTATAAGCTTAAAAGACTTGTAAGGAAATTAAGGGAATGCTTCATTAGCTTACCTACGCTCACAGGGTTGCCGGTACATATCCTGTTAAGAAAAGAAATGTCTCAAAGATGTATTTAGGGAAGTATTCCTCAAATACACAAGCAAATAGAGGTGCTGCCCAGCCATTGCCTCCTTAGAAACCCTGCAGCTTTTCTGTGCACCCAGGTGTGAGGTGCTGGTCCACATCGCCCACCGAAGCACTGCGGGGTTGGATCCCCAAATCCCACAGGCATCTTAATATCCCATCCTCTTTTTGTACCGCAAGCAGGGGATGTGACTGCAGCACGCTCGGTGCGCTGCGATCCAGGTGCCCTGGGAGGATGAGGAGGAAACAGGGGCAATGCTCCCTTCTGCACCCATGGGGAGAGAAAAGGGACGATGCTCCCCTCTGCACCCGTGGGGAGCTGCCTCCACCAGCATTTCTCACTGCCTCTCTCTCCTCCTGTTGGGTTTTGCCAGCTGTCGGTACAAGGGGCAGCCAGGGATGCTCCTACCTGCTCTCTTCTCCTTCCAGCAGCGTCCTGTAAGTGGCAATCTCAATGTCCAGGGCCAGTTTGACGTTCAGCAGCTCCTGGTAGTCTCTCAGCAAGCATGCCATCTTGTCCTTGGCTTGCTGCAGTGCGGTCTGCAGGTCAATCAGCTTCTGCCGGGCATCTTTGAGGGCGCAGTCGCCCCGCTGCTCAGCGTCGCAGATGGCCGTTTGCAGAGCTGCGATCTGTGGACAGTAATGGGCAAGAGGGTGGCCACTGGTGATATTAAGAGGCATCTCCACAAGGTTGCTCATGGACCCCTTTGTTTCTTGGCTAGGAACTGCCAGAGAGCCTAGATTTAGGCTGGATACATGTGATGGCCAAGCTCTTTGGGATGAAGGGGAGGGGACCTGTTGGCTGTAGGTCAACAGCCAACAGAGGGGACCTGCACCCCAGTAGGAAGCAAGCATTGTTTCTGTTATAGCCAAGCCAACTGGCTTCTGCTTATTTGGTGAGTGAGAAATAAATCTGCTTCTTTATGTATCGGTAGCAGATGAGAAGCTACAAATACAGGCTTAAGCTGGGGGGGGGAGGTTCTTTGCAGCTCAGCAGGGTGGGGGCTGGTGAGGATAAAGCCTTTTGCTGGAGAAGTTGCACACGCCGCTGCCCATGCAGCGTTCAACCCTTCGTCCTACCTGTTTCTTCACGTTATCCGACTCGCACTGCAGTTTCTGGATCATCCGGTTCAGCTCGGCTATCTCGCTCTGGTTGTTTCTCAGGTCGTCGCAGAACTTGCCCCTGCTGCTGTGGAGCTCCTCCAGCTATTGCGCGGGAAGAGGATGACGTTAACGCGCCCGAATCGCCCCTTCCAGGGAAGGTGGCAACTCTCCGGAGCCGCGCTGATGTCCGTGCTCCCGGGGAAGCACCCAGACATGACCTCAGCCCAGACAAGGCGACAGTCCCGGGTAGGTCCTGAGCATTTGCCCTTTGGGAAGGGGATGGTGTTCCTGATGGGTGTGCACAGAGGAGACCTCTCTAAAGCAACACTGATCTGCTATGCTCTGTTTTTACAGAAAAGCCTTAAACCACAGTTTTAAGGTTGGGGGGCTTTTTTTGGCATTACCTTCTTTAGCAAACTACAGTGCATGCACGCTGTGGGGTGGGTTTAAGTTGCATCATGGTGGACAGAAATGGTCCTCAGAGTTTTGTTGGCCAAGGGATTTCATTGCCATCTGTGCTGGTGGTGTGAATACTCACTCTGGTTTGGTAGAAAGCCTCCACTTCAGCCTTGCTCTTCTGGGCAATCTCCTCGTAGCAGCACTCAACGCTTTTGATGATGCCCTCCATGTCCAGGTCCCGGCTGTTGTCCATTTGCACGATGACAGAGGTGTCACACAGCTGGCAATCCAGCTGAGCTCTCTCCTGCAAGATCCACCGCATGTCAGTCCCCTTCCCTCAACCAGCCCAAGCCAGGCATGCAGGTACCCCTGGCAAAGGGGGGTCTGGTGAGAAGGTGGAGGGTTGGGGGAGGTTCTCCCTTTAACGCCCAACTAGAGCATGGGATTTTCCAGGTGGGTGACTGCTTTCCAGCAAGAGGTGGCAGCTGGGACCTGTTTTGGTGGCACAACGTGGGATTGCTGCATGCAATTCTCTAAGGAAGAGTGGGGAATCCTGGTGGAGCAACTCGCTTCGTTGCAACTTGGCATTTCTGGCTGCGTCAGCAGTTTTCTGGGCTGGGAATCCCTGAGGGGGGAGTGCTTTGGGCCCCCTTGCCTGCAGACTGCTGGGAGGTGCTTGGCTAGAAAAGGTGCAAATACAAAGTGTCGCCTGTGTGTTTTGTTAAAAACTTGCTATATTTTAGACAAAAGTGTTACTTTCACCAAAATATTTTGACTAATGTAACTTAAAAAGTGAAGTGCTATTTGGGTTTTGAAGAGTGAGATGTTTCACTGGTTCCCAGGGATAGTTTGGATCAGAATTTGAGGGGCTTTTTCATGCAAAAGGTCCCTTCCTTTGCAGCCAGCCATATAGGAGACAACCAAGAACGCCCTTTGCCTTCCCAAAGTGTGTGCAATAGTGTTGTTATCAAATGCATAGAAAGAGATATAGATTTTTGGGATGCGATCTCAGGATTTTCAGAAAAGACACCTTTCCCTGAATTTAGTTGTGGTGTAAGAGCTCAGGGGGGCAGCAGATGGTGCGTCATCCTGGGGGCAGCAGACGGGGAGCTGGGAGCTCTTACCTCGGCGTAGATGCACTTCAGGAACTCCAGCTGCTGCCGCAGGAGGCCCACTCTCACCTCCAGCTCCTCCTTGGTCAGGTAGAGACAGTCCACGTCCTGGAGAGACACCACGTGTTCGGTGAGAAGAGGTGAAGAAACATGGACTGTGGCAAAGCCCATGTTTTCTGTTAGATTTGGAGGAAACCTCACTATTTCCAGCCCTTAAGACCATCTGGGTTTGCATTGTATGTGCTTACAACCCGATGGGGGTTCTCCAAATTAATTGGGTTGCCTCTGTTTTGGGGCTACCTGGTGAGGACTCAGGCAGCGTCACGGTGCCAGGACTCCCCGTGTCTCTCCCTGGCCCCACGCCCGGGTTTTCCCCACGCGCCTGCCACTCTCAGCTGGTCTCGCCGGCGTTGTCCCTAGCGTGACTCACCTTCTTGAGGACCACAAACTCGTTCTCCGCAGCCGTGCGCTTGTTAATCTCATCTTCATATCTGCAGGAGGAAAGGAGCAGGGTGGGATGCTGAGCCCCAGGGGGCCCGTCCCCACCACCCAAGTGGCTAATGCAGAACATGGGATGCGTGATTAAAACCAGAGCCTCTCCCTATTCGCTTTGTAACTCCTTTTTGATTTTTGCTTTGTTGCTATTTCTTTCCTCCCCACTGGGCTTTGTTCAGCAGTTTTAAGTAGTTCACGCCAGCAGTATCGGTGGCTGGAGTGAGGTGGCAGTAAATCAGGCCAAACCACTAGAAATGCAAAACCATGTAGCTCAGCTGAAGGCTCGGACTGCTTCTTCTAGCCCTGCTGCTTTGTGTGATGTTTTTCTGAAGCATCCAGGACTCTGCTCTGAGTGTTTGTGGGGAGACTGTAGCCAAAATGCCCCAAGGGAGGTCAGGAGCTTGAGCAACCTTTGAAACTCCCAGGTGCAATGGGAAGGAAAGCCAGTGCATAATGACCAAGTAATTGGGACCTAGGAGAACTTTCACAAGATGATTCTATGGTTCTATGAGTCTGACCTCCTTGGTGGTGGCTCAGCAAGAAAAAAACATCTGAGGTGCTTGACTGTAAGATCTCTGGAGAAAGGATGACTCCTTTATGCTGTGCTGTATACCACCAACCACCAAGCGTCCTGGTTCGTGGCTTAGCAGAGCACACGGGGAGCTATTAAGGAATATCTGCAGCTTAGATTAAAAAACCAATTCCCACATTCCCTCTGGGAAGAGAGAATGAACCCCAACAGAGACGATGTGGATAAAGCGTGGGGTGGAGACAAATAGGCCGAGGGTTTTGTGGGAACGGATGGCACCAGGGACACGAGATTTGGGGGAGCCACAGGCACAGATGACATGGGAGATTTGATTTGGCGAACCACGGTGGTGTGCAGGAGCATTAGGGAGAGGAAAAGTGGTTCCCTGTCCCTCTCCCTAAGGAAACACTGTGGTTCAAGAGCTCTCCCAGTTCATCACCAGCATCTGAGGTGCAGCAGTGGGACCCCAGTGCAGGAAACCAGCCCAGCGCTGGTGTGCCCTGCCCTGCTCCCCGCTCTGCGCCCCAGTTTTTTGACCCATCCGGTGCAATTGCATTGGCTTCAGGCTCAGAAACACCGCTCAGGCCAGCGAACGCCCCGGTCTGCACCTTCTTTCTGCGTACCACTTACTTGCACTTGTACTCTTGAACCAGGTCCCTCAGGCACCGCTCCTCGTTTTCCAGCCTCTCTCGCTCCCCCAGCACACACTCCAGCTGCTTCCTCAGGTTGCAGATGAAGTTCTCGAAAACGGGCTCCAGGTTTCTCCTGGAAGCTGGGACGACATACTGCTGCAGCAGCTCCCACTTGGTGGTCAGCACCTTGTTCTGCTGCTCCAGCAGCCGGACCTGGGGAAGCAAGAGATGCGAGAGTCATGCAAGCCCCTCTTGTCCCAGGCAAAGGCGCTTTGGGTTTCTCCACTTCCAAAAGGAAAAAGTAAAAATAAGATCAGAAAAGCAAACGGTTAAGTGCCGATTTCTCAGCAGCCTGAGTGAGACCAGCGTCTTCTCTGCGCTAAACCTGGTCCCACCCAGGACTCGTATCAGAGGCTGAACAACACTGGTGCGTTTGCTCGGTGTTGAGGCCAGTCATCTGTTTGACCAAAGCTCAGTTCAACCAACCGCCACCTCTTCCCCTGAGACAACTGGCTGGTGGAGGATGGGCTGAGTACAGCAATGAGTCTTTCGCGGCAATAAAAGCTCCATCCAGGATCTCATTTGAATGTATCTGATTTAAACTCTAACCACGGATATTTATCATGCCTTTCCTTTCTAGATTAAAGAGCTCTCTAGTGCTTGAGAGCCTTTATGGATCATGAATAAGTCATTTTTCAAATGGGAGGAAGCGGAGTTGCTCCTCTTACGTGGGTTTGGTTTTTCCAGCTGCAGAACAACTCACAAGGAGAATCGAGATCAGACAGAGCAACGGCTTCTCTGCTGTTTGAAAAACCATTTCCTATAACACATCTCTAAACAGTAACGAAAACCCTTAGACTTAGCTAAGAAAACAATGATAAATTACATCTATTTAGGAAATCACCAAATCATTCCATTCACAGAGAGGAGGGACAGAGACGTTAGAATTGTTCATCTCATTCTAGCTAGGCATCTATCTTTCTACATCTCCTTGATGAAGCACACAACCTATTTTAAAATGCAAAAGTCCTTTGGAGTTTATAGAGGTGTGATAGCAATGTCAGATTATACATTTGTAATAAACCCTCCTATTTTGCCTTTTTACATTTCCGTGTCTCCATCCCTTCTCTCACAGGTTTTGATTTACTGTATCCCTGGAGCCGCTCCTGATTTAGCTATTTAGCAGACTGGTGACCATCGAAAGGTAAAATACCGGTGCGGTTGCCTTGGTGCAAGGCTTAAATCCAAACAGTCTCCAAGTCAGGACCACCATGGTCCATCAGAAATGTTTACAATATCGGGGTGCCAGGAGAAATAGCTACCGACGCTGTCTCTCTAGAGACAATCCATCCATCGGAGCCTAGAGACGTGAGACAAACGGCCTGCGCGGAGGGAAGCGGGGTCTCACCTTGTCGATGAAGCAGGCGAACTGGTTGTTGAGGTTCTTGATCTGCTCTTTCTCGTGGGTCCGCACTTGGCACTCCTCGGGGTCGACCCCCACGCAGAGGGGCTTGAGGAGCTCCGGGTGGATGCTGACGCCCCGAATCCCTTCAGATCTACCTCCGCCGAGGCTGATGCCAATGCCGCCGCCGAAGCCTCCGATAGCCACGCCGTCCCCGAGACCTCTGTAGCTGCCCAGGCCCCCGTAGCTTCCGCAGTTACCAAACCCCACGACCGTGCCCATGCCAAAGCGGCCTCCGCCGTAAGCCACGCCGCAACGTCCGACGCTGGCACCGCCGTAGACCCCGCTGCGGCAGCTCCCGCCGCAAGAAAACCCTTTGCCCCCCTC